CAAAAAAGAAAGAGAAAGGAGAAAAAAAAAAAGCAAGTTACACTTAATATACCCAAACTCTTGAGTCACAGATTTCTCCTCCAGTGAGAAGCTGCCCTGCAAGGCCCTGGAATTCTTCTATGCCTTGGCACAGGGGCAACAATAGAAATGTATGTTTTTAATGAAAGCTTAATTGCAGAATTCGGCAAAACAAAAACAAAACCCCTTCAGATTCCCTACAATTCTGGAGTCCACAATTTCTCTTGTCCTTGATATTAAGATAGTGAGTTAAGAAGGTTTTGGGGTGGGGGTGTAGGTTGTTTTGTGTGCTTAGGGATTTTTGGAGGAATTAGCTGTGTGTATTTCAACGTAATGTTGATAGTGTTCTCTCACTTACAGCTCACCAGCAGGCCAAGAGCATTCCCTTAGACCTCTCAGGACTGTTGAGGAGAATGGTGTGATGACATCAAAGGGGGCAGGGCTCAGCTGGAATTCTAATACTGGGGGGGGGGAACCCTCAGCATATGCTTTCTGAGCATGTGCAGAAATGACTTTACTGTGGATTGTAGCTTTATTACTATAAGCTAAATGGTTTTCAGATCTGGTTGTAAACACACAGTCCTCCTTACTGAATTACAAAAATATTAGAAAATTGATGCCAGAGTGGGAGAGTGTATTTATTTCCTTCACATCACTCAGCAGTCAGAAGGGATTTTGCTTAAACTTTCTGAAGAATTCATATTTTGACCAACTAAAAATAGAAAATTTCAGCCCTGTATTAATATCTGAGACTTTTAGAAGCATGTGACAATAGCAATTTACATCTGCTTTATAACTTCAGCTGCTAACATCTCCTTTCAGATCAACGGACTACAGAACATATAGTGCTAAGCAAACCAGCCACTCAATACTGGTACCCTCTATCATTGGCCATTGTGATGACCAAGAACATGAGCCTAATTCCATTGGTAGGAAGCAGAGCTAAACTCCAGTGTGTTGTAAGCCACACAACAGCCCATAACGTGCCAAACAGTGTTAATAAGCTTAACAAGCTTTAAACATTTCTCATATTAAGAAAAATAAATATAACTATCTAGCAAGCCAGATGGTTGGGGCAGGTCTAGTACTGTGGGTGCTCATTGATAATACCTTGCACTTGTGTATCATCTTTCATCCAAGGATCTCAAAGCATTGTAGCTCATTCAGTATTATTCATCCCATTGTAAAGATAGGGAAACTGAAACAGAGAGAAGTTAAGCCATTTACTCAAGCCCCCAGAGAAAACCTGTGGCAAAGCTAGAAATAGCATCTAGCTCTCCTGACTCCACTCCCTTGTCCTAATCAGCAGACCATGCCACCTCCCCGACAGCTGCCGCATGCTTCTCAGCTGTCCCTCTTTTCAGACCTAAATTTAACTCCATTTCACACAAACCCTTGGGTTTTCATGCGGTTGTTACCTTAAATTATAGACAGAAATGCTGACTAGTGAGCAGTAAAAATTGTTGCTGTCAGAGCCTGGAAACACGATACCATTCCAGAAACTGAGAGGGCTTAGTTAAGTTTAAGTCTCTTCATACATAAAACATTCTCACATTGATAAATACCTACAGCTTCTTACGGACTGAGTGCCTTTTCTATAACTTTTTGGTGACTTTTTGGTTATAATAATGCTGGGTTGGTACCTAGAGATGATGGTGATGGGATTGTTTGAAATACCACAGACTGAAGATGGATCCTCAGGAGTCTGTCTCTTTAACATAAAAAGCTCTTTAATTTTAGGGGCAAGTCCTTGATCCCTCTCAAAATGAAGTGTGAGGGACTGCACCCCCCAACCCTGAGTGGGGCATGAGAGTCCCCTGGCTCTGGGTGGAATCCGTCAATGCGCAGACTCGGGCCACCAAGGCAAAGGTGAGTAACTGAATGACTTGTTTCCTCCTCGCCTAGAGCTTTTGTGTTTCTCCCTCAATTCCCCTGCAGTGGCCTGTCTGCACAGTGACATTAGGTTGCCACAAATAACACTACCAAATCCTCTTCCCCAAGCGGGGAGCAGAAACCTATCAGATTTGTGGCCACTAGTGAAGCCTGATGGCTGCAGTACTGCATATGCAGCTCTTGTTATGCAGGAAGGCTGCATAATAGTGGATCTGCTGGCTTTACCCCAAACCCTTTGGTGCAGCAGGTACAGATCCCCCAGTATAGGCCCCTGAAGGCTTGTCCCCATCCAGGACCTTCTAGGGGTGCAGAGTATGGGCAGGACTTTCCCCCTACTGTGTTGGTTTGCTGTTTCTCTCTGTGCTGTTTCTCTCTATGTCCATTTGATAGTTCTCCATGGAAATATTAGGCCAAACTGAGTGTTGACATATATCCCGAATACCTGCCCTAAGCACACAGTCTGGGCCTTGCTCTCTACTGTAGTTCTATTGCTTTCTCCATGGTGCCTCATGGTGTTTTATAATACTAGTATTTTACCTTTCTTTCAGGTTTTTGTGTTATTTCTTCCCCTGGAATTGAGGTTATCTTCCTATACGAGTGTGTAAACTGGGTGCACCTTCTTTTCTTCTTCTTTTTTTTTACCAGACCTAAGATAAAAATATTCTTGTTCTGTAAAATATGTTTTCCCTTGTTTGATTATATGTAGAAATCTAGGCTCTGAGTAAAGTCCCTGACACCTTGCTCCATATAAAAAAAAACCATTCAGCTGTCATATATTTTTTATTTTAAAAACAAAAAGAGGTCAGCCGTGTGTCGGGAAAGTCAGAAATACTGTAGATTAGAGACGGGACTCCCAGCTTCTTCTAATCCTTTTATGCACTTGTTTTACTTGTGTCCCTCATATAGGGGTGTCTTTCCCCATGTTTGGGTCTCCGTGTGTTGACATATGGGTTGCAGTAAAGAAATTCAGACTAACCTCACCCTGAGGTGCTTGCGGCTTGAAAAACAAATTCACATATGGAAAGAGAACATGTAACAGCAACCAACAGGAAAGAAACAACTCGGCATGGGTCTGAACCAAAAGCAAGCATGAATCTGAACACCCCCACCTGTTGAGAAAGGTCAGATCCCAATTTCACAGCTCCCTTTCTTTCTAATGAGCCGTCCCAAGCCCAGCAGCTACTTCACCCTCTGACCCAAACTGAGAAAATACAGAGTAAGATTCAAGTGTTACAGCAGAAGTGACTTAGGCTCTTAAATGTCATTTTCAAATCTGACCTAGCCACTTAGGACCAGATTTTCAAAGGTATTTAGGGATCTAAAGATGCAGACAGTGGGCTCAGTGGGATTTTTAAAAGCATCTGTATTTTTAGACACCTAATACCATTGAAAACCTGGCCCTAAAACCCATTGATTTAGGCATTTTTGAAAAATGTACCTAGCCTCTCTATATATAATGGATCCAACCAAGCGCCTGTGTTTGCTCTGGGAAAATTTGGATCTGAACTTCACTTCTCTAAAAGTGAGCAATGTTAAAACAAACAAGCCCAACTCTGACAGCAGTGAGACAGAGCCATGGCAGAACCAGCCCCCCTCACTCTGGGGAATGTGTGAGCACATTTCTCAAACCTGAGCTGCTGAACCACATCAAGGTCCTTCCCCACATCTGTTGTCCACGTACATGGAATCTGTAACTCATCCATCTCCGCACACGCCTGCAAATTTGGAACAGTTCACTGTTCAGGGGTATGTGACTTACAAAAATAAAAGATGATGAAGTAGCCATCATGACTTCCCAGGAAGTGTGCTCTGCTGACTGCACCTAGTTTGAAAAACAAAAGGGGGGTGGAGAAGGAAGGGGGAGAGAATGATTCAGTCATCAGGGGGTGGCTGTTAGTTCAAGACATTGCAGCTTGTCCAGCTGCCATGTCAGAAATCAGTTTCAATTTGATTTAATGAGGGTGGAGAAAAAGTCCCCCATTTATTCTAAATCCATTAGCAGTAAGGGGAAGCTGCCTGCTGCAGCTACAGGATGTGCAGGTGTTGCCGATTTGCTGGCCACTATAAATCTGCATGAATGAGAATAGAGGTTGAAGAGGAAGAGAGTATGATAGATAAGAGGCTAATTAAGCAAGCAAAGAAGGGTTCTTCCCTGCCTCCTTCTTAAAAAAGAAAAAATGTGCAGCTGAGTTAGTCATTTACACTGGTGTAAGTTGGGAGTAACCCCACTGAGGCAGAAAATCACAGCAGCCAGAACCATTGGTTTGTTTGTTTTTAATTCCTTTTTCCATTTCCAGATACATCTGCAGGAGAGGAGAGTGGGGGGTCCTTGCCGTTGAGGGAAGCCTGGATGTGCAGAAGTGAGAGACAATAATCGATATCCCTGTTGGTCCTCTCAGCTGATAGATAAAGGGCTGAGCAGGCATTCCTTTCCATTTTGTTCAGGTTCTTACGCTACCCACAGCTGTCACTGTGGTACCTGTCCAGGAGCCTGATCTTCCTTGTCCCTGTAGGGAGGAGCCGGCCCAGTGAGGGTTGAGGCACATTGGAGGGGGAAGCTTGCGCTGTGTCTGTTCTGGAACTGCATGGATGGCTTTAGTTTGAGCTTTCAGTCCAATTCCATCCATGAGCCCTAAGCACAGATGCACACATGCCCACAGCAAAGCTGCAGCATGGATTGCCTTTTAACACTGACCTTGCTGGTTAACTCCACGCAGGTCATAGTCTGTACGTTCTGGGAGGCAGAGCCCATATCATCTATACTCCCCAGGTGGATGTTCAACAAGTTCAGAAAACATGAACACATGCAAGTGAAGTGCAAAGACCTGAGACAGAAGCGCACGGTTCAGCTTATCAGTGCAGTGCATAGCACAAATGGGTACTAGTCCATGACTAGGACTCATAGGGACTGAAGTAATGCAAGGGTGTATTACTACTGCTACTAAGGGTATGTCTACACTACGAAATTAGGTCAAATTTATAGAAGCCGGTTTTATAGAAATCGCTTTTATACAGTTGATTGTGTGTGTCCCCACATAAAATGCTCTAACTGCATTAAGTCGGCGGACCGCGTCCACAGTACCGAGGCTAGCGTCGACTTCCAGAGCATTGCACTGTGGGTAGCTATCCCGCAGTTCCTGCAGTCTCCACTGCCCATTGGAATTCTGGGTTGAGATCCCAATGCCTGATTATGCAAAAACAGTGTCGCGGGGGGTTCTGGGTACATGTTGTCAGGCCCCTCCCCCTCCGTCAGAGCAATGGCAGACAATCGATTCGCGCCTTTTTACCTGGGTTACCTGTGCAGACAACATATCACGGCAAGCATAGAGCCCGCTCAGCTCAGCTCAGCTCACCGTCACCATATGTCATCTGGGTGCCGGCAGACGTGGTACTGCATTGCTACACAGCAGCAGCTAATTGCCTTTTGGCAGTAGACAGTGCAGTATGACTGGTAGCCGTCATCGGCTATCTGGGTGCTGGCAGAAGTGGGGCTGCATTGCTATACAGCAGCAGCTCCTTGCCTTTTGGCAGTAGATAGTGTATTACGATTGATATCCATCATCATCATATTCCTCAGTGAATTTGATCAGAGGCACCTGGGCAGACATGTTTTGTCTCCTGGAGACTCAGTCCTGCCGACAGTCCTATTGAACCGTCTTGACGATGATGGCTAGCAGTCGTAGTACAGCATCTTCTGCCAAGCACTCAGAAGATGCCGATGGCTATCAGTCATGCTGCACCGTCTGCTGCCAGCTTAAGATGTAAAAAATAGATGGACCCGATTTGTTCTGTATTCATTTGCTTCCTCCTCCCGCCGTGAAATCAACGGCCTGCTAAACCCAGGGTTTTGAGTTCAATCTTTGCGGGGGCCATTCTGTGTGACAGTTGTTTGTGTTTCTCCCTGATGCACAGCCACCTTTGTTGATTTTAATTCCCTGTACCTGTAAGCCATGTCATCACTCGCCCCTCCCTTCCTCCCTCCGTCAGACAATAGTTTCGTGCCTTTTTTCAGCCCAGACTCCATAGCACTGGGATCATGGAGCCCGCTCAGATCACCGCGGGAATTATGAGCACTATGAACACCACACGCATTGTACTGGAGTATATGCAGAGCCAGAACATGCCAAAGCAAAACCAGGTGAGGAGGCAATTGCAGTGATTGCAGCGCGGCGACGAGAGTGATGAGGAAATTGACATGGACATAGACCTCTCACAAAGTACAGGCCCCAGCAATGTGCAAATCATGGTGTTACTGGGACAGATTCATGCCATGGAATGCCAATTCTGGGCCCGGGAAACAAGCACAGACTGGTGGAACCGCATCGTGTTGCAGGTGTGGGACGATTCCCAGTGGCTGTGAAACTTTTGCATGCGTAAGGGCACTTTCATGGAACTTTGTGACTTGCTTTCCCCTGCCCTGAAGCGCCAGAATACCAGGATGAGAGCAGCCCTCACAGTTGAGAAGCGAGTGGCGATAGCCCTGTGGAAGCTTGCAACGTCAGACAACTACCGGTCAGTCGGGAATCAATTTGGAGTGGGCAAATCTACTGTGGGGGCTGCTGTGATCCAAGTAGCCAACGCAATCAAAGAGCTGCTGATATCAAGCGTAGTGACTCTGGGAAACGTGTAGGTCATAGTGGATGGCTTTGCTGCAATGGGATTCCCAAACTGTGGTATGGCGATAGACGGAACCCATATCCCTATCTTGTCACCGGAGCACCAAGCCACCGAGTACATAAACCGCAAGGAGTACTTTTCAATGCTGCTGCAAGCCCTGGTGGATCACAAGGGACATTTCACTAATATCAATGTGGGATGGCCGGGAAAGGTACATGATGCTCGTTATTCAGGAACTCTGGTCTGTTTCAAAAGCTGGAGGAAGGGACTTTCTTCCGGGACCAGAAAATAACCGTTGGGGATGTTGAAATGCCTATCATTATCCTTGGGGACCCAGCCTACCCCTTAATGCCATGGCTCATGAAGCCGTACACAGGCACCCTGGACAGGAGTCAGGACCTGTTCAACTATAGGCTGAGCAAGTGCCGAATGGTGGTGGAATGTGCATTTGGACGTTTAAAAGTGCGCTGGCGCAGTTTACTGACTCGGATAGACCTCAGCGAAGCCAATATTCCAATTGTTGTTGCTGCTTGCTGTGCGCTCCACAATATTTGTGAGAGTAAGGGGGAGACATTTATGGCGGGGTGGGAGGTTGAGGCAAATCGCCTGGCCGCTGATTACGCGCAGCCAGACACCAGGGTGGTTAGAAGAGTACAGCAGGGTGCGGTGCGCATCAGAGAAGCTTTGAAAACGAGTTTTGTGACTGGCCAGGCTACGGTGTGAAACTTCTGTTTGTTTCTCCTTGATGAACCCTCCGTCCCCTCTCACCCCGGTTCACTCTACTTCCCTGTAAACTAACCACCCTCCCCTCCCCCCTTCGAGCACCGCTTGCAGAGGCAATAAAGTCATTGTTACTTCACATTCATGCATTCTTTATTAATTCATCACAGAACTAGGGAGATAACTGCCAAGGTAGCCCAGGAGGGGTGGGGGAGGAGGGAAGGAAAAGGACACACTGCAGTTTAAAACTTTAAAACTTTAACACTTATTGAAGGCCAGCCTTCTGATGCTTGGGCAATCATCTGGGGTGGAGTGACTGGGTGGCCGGAGGCCCCCCCACCGCATTCTTGGGCGTCTGGGTGAGGAGGCTATGGAAATTGGGGAGGAAGGCTGTTGGTTACACAGGGGCTGTAGCGGCGGTCTCTGCTCCTGCTACCTTTCCTGCAGCTCAACCATACGCTGGAGCATATCAGTTTGATGCTCCAGCAGCCGGAGCATCGACTCTTGCCTTCTGTCAGCAAGCTGACGCCACCTATCCTCTTCAGCCCGCCACTTGCTCTATTCAGCCCGCCACCTCTCCTCTCGTTCATATTGTGCTTTTTTGCACTCTGACATTGACTGCCTCCACACATTCTGCTGTGCTCTGTCAGCATCGGAGGACATCTGGAGCTCCGAGAACATATCATCCCGAGTCCGCCGTTTTCTCCTTCTAATCTTCACTAGCCTCTCTGAAGGAGAAACATTTGCAGCTGATGGAGGAGAAGGGAGAGGTGGTTAAAAAGACACATTTTAGAGAACAATGGGTACACTCTTTCACGTTAAATTTTGCTGTTCACATTACACAACACATGTGCTTTCGTTACAAGGTCGCATTTTTTCTCTTATATTGAGGGCCTGCCGGTTTGGTGTGAGAGATCACTCACACAGTTCCAGGCAACAGATTTCGGCTTGCAGGCAGCCATGGTAAGCCACAGTCTTTTGGCTTTTTTAACCTTCTTAACATGTGGGAATGGTTTCAAACAGTAGCGCCCTCATTTCCCATACCAAGCTCCCATTGGGTTGGCCATTTAAAATGGGTTTGCAATGTAAAAGGAGGGGCTGTGGTTTCCGGGTTAACATGCAGCACAAACCCAACTACCCCCCCCACACACACACACCCAATTCTCTGGGATGATCACTTCACCCCTCCCCCCTACCGCGTGGCTAACAGCGGGGAACTTTCTGTTCAGCCGAGCAGGAACGGGCACCTCTGAATGTCCCCTTAATAAAATCATCCCATTTCAACCAGGTGACCGTGAATGATATCACTCTCCTGAGGATAACAAAGGGAGATAAGGAATGGATGTTGTCTGCATGCCAGCAAACACCGGGACCATACGCTGCCATGCTTTGTTATGCAATGATTCCAGACTACGTGCTACTGGCCTGGCATGGTAAAGTGTCCTACCATGGCAGACGGGATAAGGCAGTCCTCCCCAGAAACCTTTTGCAAAGGCTTTGGGAGTACATGAAGGAGAGCTTTCTAGAGATGTCCCTGGAGGATTTCCGTTCCATCCCCATACACGTTAACAGACTTTTCGAGTAGCTGTACTGGCCGCGGTTGCCAGGGCAAATTAATCATTAATCATTAAATACGCTTGCTTTTAAACCATGTGTAATATTTACAAAGGTACACTCACCAGAGGTCCCTTGTGTGCCCTCAGGGTCTGGGAGCACGCTTTGGGTGAGTTCAGGGGTTACTGGTTCCAGGTCCAGGGTGATAAACATATCCTGGCTGTTGGGGAAACCGGTTTCTCCGCTTCCTTACTGTGAGCTATCTTCATTGTCTTCATCATCATCTTCCTCGTACCCCGAACCCACTTCCCTGTTGCGTGATTCTCCATTGATGGAGTCAAAGCACACGGTTGGGGTAGTGGTGGGTGCACCCCTTAGCATGGCATGCAGCTCCGCGTAGAAGCGGCATGTTTGCAGTTCTGCCCCGGACCTTCCATTTGCCTCTCTGGCTTTGTGGTAGGCTTGCCTTAGCTCCTTAATTTTCACGTGGCACTGCTGTGCATTCCTGTTATGGCCTCTGTCCTTCATGGCCTTTGAGACTTTTTCTAATATTTTGCCATTTCGTTTACTGCTATGGAGTTCAGCTAGCATTGATTCATCTCCCCATATGGCGAGCAGATCCCGTACATCCCGTTCTGTCCATGCCGGAGCTCTTTTGCGATTCTGGGACTCCATCATGGTTACCTGTGCTGATGAGCTCTGCGTGGTCACCTGTGCTCTCCACGCTGGGCAAACAGGAAATGAAATTCAAAAGTTCACGGGGCTTTTCCTGTCCACCTGGTCAGTGCATCTGAATTGAGAGTGCTGTCCAGAGTGGTCACAATGAAGCACTGTGGGATAGCTCCCGGAGGCCAATAACATCCAATTCCATCCACACTACCCCAAATCCGACCCGCAAAGGCCGATTTTAGCGCTAATCCCCTCGTCGGAGGTGGAGTAAAGAAACCGGTTTAAAGGGCCCTTTAAGTAAAAAAAAAGGGCTTCGTCGTGTGGACGTGTCTAGGCTTAATTCGATTTAACGCTGCTAAATTCAACCTAAACTCGTAGTGTAGACCAGGCCTCAGATGGTTGCTCAAGAGGCATCACCATTAGAGATCTGTCCTGGGCAGTGGTGGTTGAAGGTTGATGGGGAAGATGA